GGCACATCGATTTGGGGAGATTTAGGCTTCTTAGGGGTGAGATTCGTACAGTTTCTGGGCATGTATTCGTTTAAAAGACGTTATGGAGAGTCTCCTAAGTGTCAGTGTTGTGCTAGAGAAGTCAGCTGTGCATGGGACCCAGGTGATTTCTTGCCCGCACAGAATTTAATATATAATAGGCGGGCTTAACTAAGAACAAGCCTGTGATGACGCTATGAAAAGAGAAGTCCCCGAAGTTGTTGTTCTTCCCCCCCTGGATGAGAAAGAAAGTGATCCCATAGAGCTCCTGTCTTTAGCCGCTGAGCAGTCACCGTGGCTCCGCTCACGGTGGAAGGTGTGCAGCCAGAGGAGGGAGGACCAGTAACAGGGCATAGTCTGGGGTGAGGCTCAGCAGATCCTGGAGACACTAGCGCTGTCCGGAAGGAAAAATTAGCCTGCGAGCCCTCAAAGCCAGTCAACAGAGCCAAATATCAACAGTACAACGATTGAAATTTCTTTTGGAGAGCCACATTTTTTAAACTTAAACTTCTTCTAACGCCAGGCCGTGGTATTGTGCAGAAGCGCCACACTCAAGAGGCCAAAGAGCCGCATGTGGATCGTGAGCCACAGTTTGCCTTACCATGGGGTTAAGTGGATGAGGATTAACATATGGTGGCCTTGAACCCCGTACCCAGGTAACTGCCCCCCTTCCCCCAACCCTGGGGAGGGGGAGGCTTTCTGAGTAAGCAAAGAGAACCGGATAAAGGCATACAACGGAAAAGAACTTCGCAGGTAGTGTAGTTTTGATGGCAGTGTTGTGGCATTTAGAACAAATGATGGCATTCTAAAGAGCCCAGACTTTATTTTCTACAAAGTGGTGAGAGAGAAAAAAAAAATGTTTTCAACAGATTACAGTTCCGTTCCACCATCATTTACTCAGCATCCATAGCGTGAACCAGTGATTGTCACTCTTGGAGACATCAGAATAAGGTAGAATGAGGAGAGCTTTGCTCATGACTCTGGAAACTGCCTTTGTGTCATTGCAGTCCCCCTTCACTTAGTTCTCCTTGGCCTTAAGGACCAGAGGAATAGTGACAAGTTGCAAATGGATTCCAAAAATGATCTGAAAGTGCACCAGACAGAGCATTAAAAAATCGGGGGGGGGGGGGGGGGGTGAGCCTAATTAACGGATTCTTCAGATAAAGTAAAATTTAATTTGGATGTGTGTGCTTTTAATTTATTCAGCAAATACTTACATATCTCTGATATATAGCCATTGTGTTAGCTTGGAAACTAGAACTCTAAACGTCAGTTTCTTCATCTGTAAATGGGGGTGATAGTAGCTCAGAGTTGTAAAGATGATGTTGTTACACTGTAAGTCAGCCAGCTAAACAGAGGACGCCTTAATCAATTAGCCGAATTTTGGAGACCAGTGGTCTCAGAGGAGTTGTCTCTCAAAGTCTGAGCAAAGCAATATGAGGGAGCTTTCCCTTTATACCCCACTGGTCTCTGTCCCCCAAATATGGGGTTTCTGGACCTTTTATAGGCTTGACAAAGAGCCCTATGTAGATATTTTGCAGGAAGCTTGTAACCTGAGCACAGCACAGCTCACTACATAGTACATTGAGGATAGCACATTTCAGATAACTGAGGGCACCTGGTGTGGGAGTAGCCAGGAACGGCAGCAGAGCGGCTTGCAAGGTCAGATAATTGAGCTTATTTTCCCTATCATTTAAGCAAGCAAGCATGTTTACAGAAGCCAAGAAGAGCAGGGTTAAAATTTCAAACAGCAGTTTTTCTCAGCATAGAAGTTACAGATGGAGTGCCTGTACTTCAGTGTCTGTGCTATCGCTGTACCAGCTGTTAATAAAAATCTTTTAAATGGTACTATGTATGGACTATATATTTGTTTGAAATTCTCTTTACCTTTCTTATCGGCTCTGGGCCTTAAGAATTGAGATTATCTCTCTTGGCTCTTTAGTCCTTGTGTTTGTGCCCATGTAATGTACCTAGTTAATATCTGCAGGTAATTGGCACAAAAAGTTGACAGTTACAAGAGGCATGACTTTTTTATGTGTGCATAGTAGGGGTAGACGAGAAGACTTTATTTTCATTAAATAAGAGATGATTTAGAAAATGCTTGACAAATTATAAGAACTTATACTTCATCCCTACCCCCAAAGGACATTTTTCATGAAAGAGAGGACTCTTGACTTAATTTTAAACTCAGTACTAATTTTTATTTGGTTAAATTTCCTCTTAATAGTACTGTTCCCACTAAATAGGAGAGTGGTCAAGTAAAATGCTGTATTAATCAGAAATCAACATATTGGAACATAGTACCGTGTTTCCCAGAAAATAAGACATCCTCCAAAAATAAGACCTACTTACAGGTTTCCTTCTGAGTGAAATATAAGGCATTTCCCAAAAATAAGGCCCCTCCTAGGCTCTGTCTCAGAATGCTATTGCTAAACATGAAAGATTTGGTCCACTGATGCTGAAAGAAATGGGAGTCACAAGAAATTCACCAGGAAATTCAGGAATTGGATTGTTATGATGATGTTCCAGAAGATGATGACATGATTGTCATTGAATAAAAGAGTAAATTCTTAATACTGTAGGATTCACAGTTTGTCTGGTTTGTGTTGACAACTACTGTACTACCATACCGTATACAGGTAATAAATTTCCATTATTTTCATTTAACAATAAATGTGTACCATATTCTTCTTCATGGGAAAATAAGACACCCCCTGAAAATAAGACCTAGCACATCTTTGGGAGCAAAAATTAATATAAGACACTGTCTTATTTTCGGGGAAACAGGGTATTACTACACTTCCCCTAAAAATTTTGGGAAGAAAAAGAATTAGTTTCCTTTTTAATTTGCACTTCCCTCTGCTATTGTTTTCAGACCATTTCATTTTTTTCTTATTTATTTAATTTTTTGTTTATTCAGATATTATATGTGTACATACCCTACCAATCCCTACCCCTACCCCCATTCCCAAATATGCCCTCCCTCCCCATAGTTTTTCCTCCTTTAGTTATGCTTATATGCATGCATACAAGTCCTTCAGTTGTTCTCTTATCTCCCCCGTATCTCTCTACCCTCCCCACAGACCATTTCATTTTAAACTGAGCAGTATCTATAATTTGTTCATATGAAGTTCAGATTTCTTTTAATAACAGGTAAGAGGTGAACCTAATTTGAAGCTGGCATCAAAGAAAGATCTCTAGTTACTAGAAAATGCACAAAAATAAAATTCCTATATAATAAAGCGATAATATGCAAATTGACCATCACTCCAACACACAAGATGGCTGCCCCCATGTGGACACAAGCTGGCCAGCAGGGGAGGGAAATTGGGAGTGAATCAGACTGGCAGAAGAGGGCATTTGGGGTGACCGGTCCTGCAGGGAAGGGCAGTTGGCCGACCGGGCCAGCAAGGGAGGGCAGTTAGGGGTACCAGGTCAACAGGGGAGGATAGTAAGGGGCAATGAGGCCAGCAGGGGAGGGCAGTTAGGGGCGACCAGGCTATCAGGGGAGGGCAGTTGAGGGTGACTGGGCTGACAGAGTAGGGCAGTTGGGGGCCACCAGGCCTGCAGGGGAGGGCAGTTGGGAGGGACAAGACCCACAGGGGAGCAGTTGGGCGGCAATCAAGCTGGCAGTGGAGTGATTAGGGGATGATCAGGCTAGCAGGCAGAAGCAGTTAGGAGCAATTAGGCAGGCATGCAGGTGAGCTTAACTTTAACTGAGCATTCTGTATTTTATCTGGCAACACCAATAGCAAATAATTCTAACCCCACAGCGACACCTAAGGGATGGATTCTTAGAAAACAGGGTAATTGTGCAGATAATTCTTCAAGTGTTTTTCAAAAAATTACATACAGTACTCAAAAGTGTGCAAAAAAAAAAAAAAAGACTTTGTGATACTGGGACAGAGAAGAATTTCTCAACCAAAAATGCACATATCAAACGAAATGTATCACAAAGTCTTCTGGGTTTTTTTTGTAAATATATTTTCATGCTTCTTTAATCCAACTGGAATTGATTTTTGTTTGTGAAAGAGAAATCTTATTCTGCCCTTTTCCACATGGTTAGGCAGTTTTCCAAGCATCTTTCATTAAATCCTTCCATTAATGTGTAATACCCACTGATTTATAATACCATATGTTATACATCTTCCTCTTTGCATGGATCTATTTGTCTATATTATGCAGATACCAGTTTTCATTACAATAGTTTTATAGTAAATGCCTTACTCTGTTTTTCTTCAAGATTCTCTTGGCTCACTTGGACCTATACCGTTCCATGTAAACTATTTTGTTAAATTCCAAGAGGAAGTAGGCAGAACACCTAATGGGATTTTGATTGGAATAGTTTTGGATTTATAAATTTTTGGAGAATTGACATATTTACTATAGACTTTCCAAGGCATATTTCTTCAGCTTTTATTAAAAGTATATTTTTGTCTTTCTGTTTGGTAATTTTTGCCATAAAAGCCTTTAATGTCTTTTTTAAGATTTACGTTTTGTGAAGCATCTTAAAGTGTTTTTGGTCTCCAGTATCTTTGTTAAATTATCTTGCTACTTCTAATAGTTTGCTAAAACCTCTTATATTTTTCCATGTAGATATTTAAATAATCTTTAAGTAATATTTCCTGTTTCTTTCAATTCTGATACCTTTTAATATGGTGTTAAATGGAAGCTGTGACTGACAGCAGGTATTATGTAGTTCTAACTTTACAGGGAATGCTTCTGATGTTTCATGATTAAATATAATAATGATTCTTGTAGACTTTTTGGTAACTACCTTTCTATTCCTTTTTTTTGCTAAGAATTTTTTTTCTTTTAAACAAGTATTGATTTTTATCAAATGCCTTTTCAATTTCCCAGATAAAAATTTACAGCACAAATTGACTCTCTCTAATATTTTCTTTAGGGTGACCAGCATATCACTTATTAGAGAGAGGTCAGTTGCTTGACCGAATTAAACAGGAAATTGGCTAGAATCAAGAATGATGGATCCATGTTCGGTTGGAGTTCAGCTTCGTACCACAAATGAATGCCATAAAACCTACTATACTCGTCATACAGGTTTCAAGGCTTTGCAAGAATTATCATCAAATGATATGCTTCTACTTCAACTTAGAACTGGAATGACACTTTCTGGGAACAATACAATTTGCTTTCATCATGCAAAAATTTACATTGAAAGATTTGAGGATTTGCAGAAGTCATGTTGTGACCCCTTTAACATACATAAAAAGCTAGCCAAAAAGAACTTGCATGTAATTGACTTAGATGATGCCACTTTTCTGAGTGCAAAATTTGGCAGACAGCTTGTACCTGGTTGGAAGCTTTGTCCAAAATGCACCCAGATAATCAATGGAAGTGTGGATGTTGATTCTGAAGATCGGCAGAAAAGAAAACCTGATTCAGATGTAGGTATAGTAGTCATTTTTTCTGCTATGTTATTTCTATACTGTGGGATTATGTTTAACTATAAGGAAATCATATTTACATTGTTATTTACTAGAGTCTTGGTGCATGAATTCATGCATCAGTGGGGTCCCTCGGCCAGGCTGGCAGGATCAGGCCAAAACCGGCTCTGCGACATCCCCCAAGGGGTCCCAGATTGCTAGAGGGCTCAGGCCAGGCCAAGGGACCCCTCTGGTACATGATCAGGGCCAGGGAGGGACACAGGAGGTTGGCCAGGTGGGAAGGGACCATGGGAGAGCTCCAGGGCGTTTTCTGGCCCATCTCACTCAGTCCTGATCCATCAGCCAGATCCCAGCAGCAAGCTAACCTACCAGTTGGAGCATCTGCCCCCTAGTGGTCACTGCACATCATAGCGAGCAGTTGAATGGTCTTAGCATATCATTAGTATATTACACTTTGATTGGTTGAATAGATGACCGGACCCTTAGCATATTAAGCTTTTATTATATAGGATTATACTAATCAGCATGCAGTGAATGTAAAGTTGGGGAAGTGAAAGTAAAGGATGTTTTAAAGTATTTCTAGATACCTAGATCAGCGATTTTCAACCTTTTTTATCTCATAGCACACATAAAGTAATTTCTAAATCTCTGGCACACCAACACATATATATATTATATTTTGCCAATGGACAAAATATACAAATATAATTTTTATTTCATTTACACTGGACAGCTATTGTTGTGTTGGCTGTTATCATTTCTTTATTTGACAATCTAAGGGAAAAGAGGTCAGTTCCCCTGACTAAATAGTCGGGTACTGCATGTGTACCGGGGTACACCAGTCGGGTACTAGTGTGCCAGGGTACACCAGTTGAAAATCTCTGACCTAGATTGAATGATAAAGAAAGTAAGTTTGGGAAAGGAATAACATAATATACCCAAGACTCCTTAACCGTATCAAAACAACTTAAGATTTCCTATGTTGTTTCTCTTTGGTGCAGAACAAGGACAAGTATGTCAAAGGAGCACTGCTTAAGATTTTATTTGTAACTAATTTATAATTCTTGCAGCTGGGAAGAATTATAATTTTTCATTATATTAATAAGCCAAATTAAGAGGTAATTAAAATTTAAATTATGTGTAGTGCTTTCCTTGATGCTCCCCCCAGAGGCATATTTCCAGGACCCAGTGGTATCTTCCAATTCATACTAGGGACTTGCTACTGTCACCTCAGATGTCTTCTCCACTTCATTTGTCCACTAGAAGCCTGGTGTCCAGTGGGGCCCTGGCTCTCCAGCATCACCGAGGGGTTTGGATTGCTCTTGAGGAATGTATCACATAAAGCTGTTTCCCCCAAGGAACAAACTTAAACTCTTAACCATCAGAAATTTGTAACACATGTCAGGACTTAAAACCCTATTCTCTGCTTTTGGAAACATATAATAACAAGAGAAACTTTTCTTAAGGACTCGGGATCATTAGTATCCTGTTTCCCCGAAAATAAGACAGTGTCTTATATTAATTTTTGCTCCCAAAGATGCGCTAGGTCTTATTTTCAGGGGATGTCTTATTTTTCCATGAAGAAGAATATGGTACACATTTATTGTTAAATGAAAATAAAGGAAATTTATTACCTGTATACGGTACAGTAGTATGGTAGTTGTCAACACAAACCAGACAAACTGTGAATCCTACAGTATCAAGAATTTACTCATTTATTCAATGACAATCATGTCATCATCTTCTGGAACATCATCATAACAATCCAATTCCTGAATTTCCTGGTGAATTTCTTGTGACTCCATTTATTTCAGAATCAGTGGACCAAATCTCTCATGTTTAGCCTAGGGGGTGGGGGGGCCTTATTTTCCTGGGGGATGCCTTATATTTCACTCAGAAGGAAACCTGTAAGTAGTCTTATTTTTGGAGTATGTCTTATTTTCGGGGAGACACAGGAGGAACCTCAGGTTACAAAGCAGTTTTTCTGACTTCCCTCCCACGTTGGCAGCAGCTACTTGAGTTTTCCCGTGTCTATCCCCTTTCTCTCCTCTATGCCAGAAATTAAAATTAGGTAATGAAAATATTACATGTAAATTACCAATAAGTTTTTAATATGGTCCATGGCTGTAAATTTTGTTACATGTGGTCTCTAAAACCTTTTTTTCTTTTTCTTTTTTTTCTTTTTTTTGGTGAGTTCCTGACTGTCTTCCAGGTTAAGAAATAATCTGGATTAAGAGTAAGTGAAATAGTAATATGATCTGATGTCAAGTTGATAATTTGTTTACCTTTATTCAGGGAAGAACTGCTAAAGCTTTGAAGTCCTTGCAGTTTGCAAATCCAGGAAAGCAAACTGAATTTCCTCCAGAAACTGGTAAAAGAGAAAAAAGAAGGCTTACAAAAAGTGTAACTTCTGGTTCAGACAGGTAGGCTATGTGTTAATTCTATCATAATTCTGCTAACTTTCTGACTCACATCTGTATTGTCTCCCTATCTTTCTCTTAAGTTTTGAATTTTCTGGGTTAGTATTTTAAATTGGTAGGAACATCTGAAGGCCTCATAAGTAATTGACATCTTTTTCAACTTAAAAAATTTGTTTCTAAGAAATATCAATGAAGTGAACAGATAATATTTTTGGCATGAGAATTAAAATAATTTAAACATTATTCTTAAAATTAATTGAATTTTTTTGAAAAGCATTGATACTATATAATTGGTATATCTGCTGTATGAGTGGCAGCAGGAAAGTAAATTTTATGAGACACTTTATAGGTGTGAAATGGAAAAGTTGTGGTACAGTCACCAGAATGAATGAGGAAACTAAATTGTTTAGAATCTGACTTTTTAAATTGAGCATTTCTGAAGCATAAATTGATTTTAAAAATATTAGTATAATTCAGAATTTTCTACAGATTGCGTTTACTCTATCTGTTAAGGTTTTCTGTTGAGTCATATAAATATTTGTAGGCCAGATTTGCTGGAATCCATTAAAGAACTTGAAAAAGATTAATTGAGTATAAAAACCAATAGGGTAGTACACTGTAATAAAAATAAAATTATATTCACAAAGCAGTAAAGAGATTGTTAACCAACAAAAAGTACCTCTATTAACTACCCATTTTCCTTTTCTTAAAAGGGAAGTTTTAACAGAAATATACCTATTTTTGGACAAAGTTCTTGTCCATTTTTTTAAAAATATATTTTTTATTGATTTTTTACAGACAGGAAGGGAGAAGGATAGAAAGTCAGAAACATCGATGAGAGAGAAACATCGATCAGCTGCCTCTTGCACACCCCCCACCAGGGATGTGCCCGCAACCAAGGTACATTCCCCCAACCGGAATCGAACCCGGAACCCCTGAGTCCACAGGCTGACACTCTATCCACTGAGCCAAACCAGTTTTGGCTTGTCCATTCTTTTGTGAGTTGATTTTTCAATGGACTTTGAGAAGAATCTTAGGCTTATTTTATTTGTTTCAATACTTCAGAGTAGAGTCTCTTCTGATGAGTTCATATACTGCTAGCTGTAGAGTAGCCTTGAGTCTGGTAAGTTATATACCAGTTTGGTAGGACTTCATTCCTAATTCAGAATATTTTATCTCCTTAAATTTTTTCATTACTTTATTTTCAATGAAATATTCAAAAAGTAATGTATTTGTGAGGTGTAATTCGCCTGTGTTTATTTTTCAGACAAGTGATACCAGCAAAGAGTAAGGTCTATGATAGCCAGGGTCTCCTGATTTTCAGCGGAATGGACCTCTGCGACTGCCTTGATGAAGATTGCTTAGGGTGTTTCTATGCCTGCCCTGCCTGTGGTTCCACCAAATGTGGAGCTGAATGCCGCTGTGACCGCAAGTGGCTCTATGAGCAAATCGAAATTGAAGGAGGAGAAATAATTCACAATAAACATGCTGGATAATTTGTAGCATTTCATTAGGGGGTCTTTAAAGTACTTTCTCTATTTCTAAAATTCTGTCATTCTCAAATACATGTTAAAGTTGATTGCCAAATGACAAAAATTTGAAAACCACGTCAACATGCACTCAACCTGCGCTAATATTGTAAATTTAGATGGGCTATTTCAGCAGCCACTTAGAGCCTTTCTGGGCCAATGTAAGCAAGTAAGGCATAAGCAGCCCTCAATTTGCACAATTCCCAAAGCCACAAATTCCGTTAACAATGATTTCATTAAATAACACCAGTTCCCTAACAGTACAGTTAAAATGTCAGTTACCAGTATATGTTAACCGTGAGTAAAGTACATGAAGTAGTCACTGTGAATAACATGTATTTTATGACCAGTGGCCACTCACATTACTTCTCAAATTCTGCTGGAGTTTGGTCACTGCACATCTGTTAATGAGTTCACTTTTAGACAGCCAAGTATACAGGTTTATTTCCTTGCCCCACATGTGACATTTTATAAAAGTAGGTAATGAAAAGAACTGGAAAATAAATGAAAAATGATGCCAGACATATTGAGATTTGAGGTGAGCATTAATGGAGCTGTAGAAGTCACTGATCATAGGAAGGCTGACAGCGCTGTTTTTTAACCTAGAGCCTCTGGACATGCAGCCAGAGAAATTTAGTGGCCGCAGACTTCCCAACATAAATGAGGAATGGTCTTGTCCTGGAGGAAGTGATGTGAGAAACTTCACATTAAAGGAAATTGCAGAAATATTTTATGATATTCAAAGTACAAATGCTGAAATGGTAGAAACTAAGCTAAACTGAAAGGAGAATGGCTATTTTCTGGGGTATAAGTCATTTGACTAAAAAAAGCAAGCACTGTTCAAATGACTAACTTTTTACAGTGAAATAACATGAATTCTCAATCTTCCTAATGTTTTAAGTTACAGTGTATTAAATAAATACTATTATAATGTTTCCATTTATATTTTAACTGAACAGAACAAGTATCATTTTCCCCATTGTTTATTAAGAAAGATTGGCCATTTTTTATGATCCTATACTAACACGCAAGGCAAGTACTAACTTCGAAAAATGCCTACTTTAGGAAAAATTAATTTTAATGCAGTGGTTGAGTGCTAAACCATTTTGGGAATAATCTACATGTCTATACTAAAATATGCCATTTCTTCTCTCCACTTAACCTCTTCAAATGTTTTAATATGTCTAAACCTTTCATTATTTAGACCATATTCTTGGTGAAAATGTGTTCTTTGTCGCAAAAAAAATCCTATTTCTGTCTATAAAGCAAATATATAAACAGATGTTGATTGCAGTTAGAGGACTGAAAAAAAGACTCCTTAAGGGAATAATAACAAATAGAGAAACACTGTTGAGACTATTTGGAAATTGGGATTTGTATGGGTGTTGTTTGGAGGATGGGGATGGTTGATAACTTCACTCTGCCCTTTATTTTTTTTAGAACAGCTAAATCTCTCATCATCTAGGATACTGCCACTAATCTAGGTTTTTGTCTTGTCTTCCCTAAATATAGTACTTTAGTTGAGTCAGATGAGATTTAAACGACTTGAAATATTTTTTAGCCATTGAAACTGTAAACTTATACAGCCAGTTTTATTGACCAATAGAGGTTTATTTTTATTTCTGTACTCTCTTAGTATCTCTTTAAAAGACTAGTTTTACTTTGTTGGAATGCCATTTTCAACCATCATATTAACAGTCATTTTTAAGATATAATTGTTCACTGACCTAGTTATCAAAAGTGCAGTTAATTCCTTCATTTAAACATTTCAACAGAGCACTGGCAAAAGAACATTTTAGCTTCATATGCTTAATGGCTAGACTTTTTTAAATTAAGGAAATATGTTCTTATAAAGGACTTAAACATAGACTCCAATTTTGTCTGAATTTCCAGGATCATTAGACCTTAATTGCATTTCTGACAGCATTTCTTAGAGACTGTTTAAAACAGAAATATCTTTTCAACAAAATTAATGACTTTAAAAAATTCAAACATTTTTAACTTCAGCATTGCTTAGTAGAACACTTTTGTGTTATTTTCAAAGATGGTAAGTTTTTAAGGGGAAAATATTTTGAAAACATATATGCTAATATATGTTTATTGTGCCTATTTAGGAGACCAAGTTTTTAATGAGCATGCAAAAGGTTTGTAGAGAACGATATATCTGATTTATATCACATGTCTACTTTTTTTTAATTTCAGAAATTCAGAAAACAACATTATCTAGACCCTTTTGACATTTTGCGGATGAGTCAAGGTGGCTAAATTGTTTTAGAATGCTATTACTCCTTTAAAAAGCAAAAATAAAAGTTAAGTAAACGTTTAACTTCTGTTTTATGTTGTTCCTGGTGGAGAAGTTAATATAAGACCACAAACATTGATCTTACACAATGTTTTGGCCACGAATGTTAAAAGTAAAAATGTGTGCATACTATAAATTTGAATAAAATAAATGGCATCCCATATGATTTTTCTCCTATCTTTTACAAATATAAGAAAATAGCTTTGGAATACTTTATGTACGATTGTTTTTAAAATATTACATCTAGTTCAATGTAACAGGCTGTTCTAAAACTGCCTGGCATGGATTCAACTAAGTAATTTTTAGCAGATGTATTTTGAAGCATACATATATGTATACATATATATAGGGAGTGATTTATTAATACAGAGAATATAATTTTAGTAAGTTCTAGCATGGTTCTTAACTTTTTGGACATCAGAGACCCCTGTGAGAAGTTGATGAAAGCTATGAACTCTCCCCAGAAAAATAATATGTAATCACAAATGCGTGCATTCTGTATATTCCTGAACATGGATTGAAATTCCTGAGCAAAATGAAATATTCTCTAAACCAGTTAGTTTGTTTTTTTTTAAATTAAAGGTGACTGTCTAAAGTGTACTTTGTTTTGTTGAAGGTGATTTATTTATTTTATTTTTTTTAAACAAAATCGGAGCAGTTCAGTTCTTTGCAAGAGCTGTTGCAAAAACTCGGCTCCCACTGTGGACTCTTATTCTCACCGCTGCCATCCCCCCAAAAGGAAGTTTGCAAATCAAGTAACAATGTAGAAAACTGAGGTGTCGCTGAAACCGATTTTGCTCAAAGGATAGAGCGTCAGCCTGCAGACTGAAAGGTCCCAGGTTCAATTCCTGACAAGGGCATGTATCTTGGTTGCAGGCACATCCCCAGTGCGGGGTGTGTAAGAGGCAGCTGATCGATGATTCTCTCCCATTGATGTTTCCAACTATCCCTCTTTCTTCCTCTCTGTAAAAAATCAATTAAATATATTGAAAAAGAAAACTGAGGTGTCTTCAGTGGATTAGGCTCTGGTAATTAGAGATTTTCCATTTCACTGTGAGTTACTATCAAGGGTTTAACATCCTCCACGCAAATGCACGTGGCACTGCCTTGGGTTTTGCTGACATCTGCTGGTATCTGTGAAAATTAAACCATGGCTACTGCTGGCCACTTACTCTCATCTCTTACATTGAAATGGAAAATTAAAACAAAAATTCTAAAAGTAGAAAAGTGTCTCCTTTTAGCCTTCGTAGGACTTGCCCAGCAGTTGTTCACCATGGTAGGTTTAACTTTTAAGAGTATGAGTGAGGATGCAAAAGTATACAAAAGCACTTTTTGGGTTTCTTTTATTTTTATAAAATGGCAAAACTTAGAAAAATTACGCTTTTATCTACTTGTCTTTTTTAAATTGTCCAACATTTCATTGAACACTTTCTTAATTTAAAAGTTGTAATAGACTTCCCATAGAATATATATCCCAACTTGTAGATTTTTTGTGATGGTAAAGTTCTGAGGTTTGACTCATTTTACCAAGATAATTTAACTTCTAGAAGGTGGAGGAAATTTACCAGATAAAGCACTTGGGTTAATAATGCTATATCTTTAAATGCAATTTGAAAACATTTAACTGCAGCCTATTAAATGGCACAATTAAAATACATAGTTTTTCCGCGTGATTGAAATCATGAGGGAATACTTCCTTCGTCAGACACTTAATTATTAGAAACCAGTTTTTAATTCATCTCACTACAAGCAAACAACTATTTTATTCAAAAGTTTCCAGAGTTTTATTCAAGAGTTTCTAGGCTATGGTTTTGAGATAAATGGGCTTAGTAAAAATAAAGTGTGTGCAAGCATTGCTAAAACTGCCAAAACCTGAAACTCCCAACTTCAACAGCTAACATTTGCAAACACAAAAGAATTTGTAAGCTCATGATCTTCATTGGAAACATGCTGGATAATACTTTTTTTACCCAATTCTTTTCAGAGGCACATTTTACTTTAATAAAATAAAATAAAAACAAGACATTAGCTCAGGGTTCAGGATCTTTGTCCTTTCAAGAGAAAGAAAACATCTAAAATCCAAGTTTGAAAACCTTAAGTCAGTCTTTAATTGGATACCATTTGAAACAATTCAAAATGTAAATAGAAGCTCTGTTCTGTAAATACCTTTTGTTATTAACGACAATGAGAAAATCAAATTAAATTGGTTTTAATTGTTTTAAATTCTGGTAGCTGAAATTTATTTATTTGGATTTCAAAGTAGTATTGCAGTCTTTAGTGGTCTAAAATAAAATAATGGCAATACTGGTACCATGTAAAAGGGTTTTATGAGATTCTGCGTAAAGTACAAACTTAATTTTGGCATTAAGATAGGTAAAGTAACCCCTAGCGGGTTTGGCTCAGTGGATAGAGCATTAGCCTGCAAACTGAAGGGTCCTAAGTATTCTAGTCAAGAGCAGTACCTAGTTGCAAACTCTATCCCTGGACCCAGTCAGGGTGTATACAGGAGGCAATTAATTAATGTGTCTTTCTCACATTGATGTTTCTACCTCCCCCCCCCCTCGTCTCTTTCACCTGCTCTAAAAATCAATGGGAAAATATTCTCAGGTGAGGATTTTTTTTTTAAAAAAGTGATTCAGGATGTTCAGTGAACTGTGGCATCATT